AATAACTTAAATATTGAGTAATTTTATAGCTTATAGTCAAAGAACGTTTAATTCATTGCGGCCTTCGAAGTTTGTTGAAAGATTGCTCGTTCTAGTTCGAAACGTTTTAACAATCTGAACTATCGGCGAGCGCTTTTCTATTCAAAAATTACGCGAATTAAGTGGGGCGAAGGTGTCTTGTTTTAAATGTCACAAACTTTCTTGTTTTAAGCTTACCAAAGTCCCTTTATGATGTAAGTTCCTTTTTACTTTTGAACTAAAATGGTGTTGACTGTAAGAAATTTTTTTTAATGTAGTGGTTTTAAATTGCTAAGGCGACAAGAGGTAGGAAGTGAAATTGTATTGTGTTAAGTTATTTATAGTTTAAAAGGTGAGAAAGCAAATGATCGTTAAATAAATTCAAATAATTTATCATAATAAAATACAGGGGTAGATCAGGATTATATCGAAGGAGGTGGCGGATTTTCAAACTGAAATTGATAATATTGTCGACGTTTTTTTTTTGTCAAGTAGACAAAATTGATTTTCTAAAATCTCCCAAATCACTATAAGGACCCTATTTTGACTAGTTGTTTTGCGCCGCAAGCAAATTGTTAAAAAACCGGCCTAAAAATCTTTTGACCAAAAAACCGCGTTTTTTAAAGCCTCCCCACCCTTAAAGCTAGTATATGTTGGCACCAAAGACGTCTTTAGACATATTTTAGGTCGGTTAGGATTTTGTTGCTTTTCAGTCCAAATTTTAGCGAGCTGTTTCGTTTCCAATTTTTGAAACAGAACTGTAGTAAGCTGTTGATCATTTGTGTTGATCAGTAAGTTGTTGTACAATTTTGTTTTGATCACTTGCCCGATGTGAACAGGGTGAAATATTTAGGAGTAAAAAGAGGTATTGGAAAGAAAATTTAGACGAAGGATGGAAAACTGCGAAGTCAGATGGTTTTCGGATAAAAAAAAACCCGGACGCTAAAGTTTCCGATAAACTATTTGAAAAATATTTTTTTTTGTGAACTAGTTGAACCCAATGCTGCTAGCTTGTGTTTCTCGCTTTGAATCAACTTTGAGTTCAATTTGGTTTTTTTCTTTTTCCAACGATGTGCTCTGATTTCTGGAGATTAATTTGGACCATACCCTGGGGCTAAAACACCTCTTGACCAGGGTCGGATCTGGGATTTTATCGAGGAGGGGTGAGAGGCGTATCTTCAAAAAAAATTCGAAAATTTTGTCAATTTATTTTTTAGGTCGACCAAGAAAAATGTTGACTAAAAACTTGCGTTTTTTGTTGCCTCCCCACCCTCAAAACTAAAATGTTGGCGCCAAAGACGTCTTTAGACAAATTTTAGGGTCAGTCAGCCCAAGTGAATGTCTCAAAGTGGTACAAACGGAGCACTCTTTGGGTCTGCATGGAGTCGAAGCCCTGAGGAATGAAAACAATTAAAATAACATTTTAAAATGACCTACATTAAGAAAACTTTTTTCATGTCAAGAAGAACCGTTGCAATTTTGTTGCTTTTTAGTCCAAACTCTAGCGAGTTGTTTCGTTTCCAAGTTTTGAAACAGACTTGTAGTAAGCAAAGACCAGAATTGTTTTTTGAAGCGTTCTGTTGAGTCTTTTTCAAGCACCGTGCACGAAAACACTGCCTAAATTTCTTATAGTTTTATTTAATTGATTATAGTTGAAATATTCGGTGCTACTTGCCCAGCAAAGAGTAACTCTTGTTTCCTCATAAATCATTGTAATGAGCGAATGATAGAATCCAGCAACAAAATTCTATAACTTTAAACTTTGATCGGCATGGACTCAATATTATGATTAGGTTTCGAACACAATTTTGTTTTGATCACTTGCCCGATGTGAACAGGGTGAAAAATTTAGGAGCAAAAAGAGGTATTGGAAAATTTAGACGAGGGTTGGAAAACTGTGAAGTCAGATGGTTTTCGGGTAAAAAAAACCCGGACGCTAAAGTTTCCGATAAACTGTTTGAAAAACTTTTTTTGTGAACTAATTGAATCCAATACTGCTAGCTTGCGTTCCTTGCTTTGAATCATTTGAATCAACTTTGAGTTGGATTTTGTTTTTTTCTTTTTCCAACGATGTGCTCTGATTTCTGGAGAATAATTTGGACCATACCCTGGGGCTAAAACACCTCTTGACCAGGGTCGGATCTAGGATTTTTTCGAGCAGGGGGGAGAGGCGTATCTTCAAAAAAAATTCGAAAAGTTTGTCAATTTGTTTTTTAGGTCGGCCAAGAAAAATGTTGACCAAAAAATTGCGTTTTTTGTTGCCTCCCCACCCTCAAAATTAAAATGTTGGCGCCAAAGACGTCTTTAGACAAATTTTAGGGTCAGTCAGCCCAAGTGAATGTCTCAAAGTGGTACAAACGGAGGACTCTTTGGGTCTGCATGGAGTCAAAGCCCTGAGGAATGAAAACCATTAAAGTAACATTTAAAAATGACCTACATTAAGAAAACTCTCTTCGTGTCGAGAAAAACCGTTGCGATTTTGTTGCTTTTCAGTCCAAACTCTAGAGAGTTGTTTTGTTTCCAATTTTTGAAAGAGAACTGTAGTAAGCAAAGACCAGAACTGTTTTTTGAAGCGTTCTGCAGAGTCTTTTTCAAGCACCGTGCACGAAAACATTGCCTACATTTTTTACAGTTTTTATTAATTGACTGCGGTTGAAATATTTGGTGCTACTTGCCCAGCAACCGGTTACTCTTGTTTCCTTGTAAATCATTGTAATGTGCGAATGATAAAATCCAGCAATGAAAATCTATAACTTCAAACTTTGATCGGCATGCACTCAATATAATGATTAGGTTTTAAATACAATTTTGTTTTGATCACTTGACGGATGTAAACTGGGTAAAATTTTTAGGAGTAAAAAGAGTTATTGGATGGAAAAATGAGTAGAAGGTTGAAAAACTTTGAAGTCAGATGGTTTTTGGTTAAATAAAAAGCCGGACGCTAAAGTTAGCGATAAACTATTTGAAAAACAATTTTTCGTCAACTAGTTTAATCCAATGTTGCTAGTTTGTGTTCCTTGCTTTGAATCAACTTTGAGTTTGATTGTTGTTTTTTTTTATTTTTCCAACGATGTGCTCTGATTTCTGGAGATTAATTTCGACCATGCCAGGGGCTAAAACACCTTTTGACCAGGGGCGGATCTAGGATTTTATCGAGGAGGGGGGGGGGGGGGTGCGTATCTTCAAAAAAAATTCAAAAATTTTGTCAATTTATTTTTTAGGTCGACCAAAACAAATGTTGACCAAAAAATTGCGCTTTTTCGGCGTGCGCTCTTGAATATAAGACGGGGTCAACGCAAAACAACTCCTGGAGCTGAAAACTTGCAATGGCTTGAGTTTTCGTCCACAATTTCATGGGTAGAAGTAGAGATTGCAAATTCATTTGTGGCTTATGCAAAACTTATCTGTGGCATAAGCACACCATGGACATGTTTTTTTATTTTCATTTTTATCACTTTGTCTCTGAATTTGACAAAAAAATAAGTTTATGGCTCAAACGCTCAACAAAATATAAAAAGATTTTAGGATAAATTAATTTTGTCTCTGTTGGCTATAAAAACTAGACCTTGAATAATAATATTTAGATGTTTTTGTTTCTTGTGCTCCTTACGCGGCGGCAAGATAACAAGGTACATGCAAATTGGAAATTGATCCATGGGTAAGACTGGGTCATCATAAAAGGATCTATAATTCGTGCAGTATTGTCGGAAACCGTCCAAGGGTGAAGGACAATGGTCCACGTCTAAAAAAAGTTGACACCACGGGTACTTAAAAGCAATCTAAAATATGTTTTGTTTGTTTTAAATTGATTGCTAAGACTATTACTGTTTTTTGAAAACTTTTGTGCGTGGTACTTCTGTATATACTTTTCTTTCCATTAGTCACTCGCCACAATCGGCTGGCTACTCCTGAGTCTGCATGACATCGGATGACCTGATGGTCTTGAGGAGATTCAATACACCTTTTGCGTGCTCAGCTGAGAACCACAGAACAGTTGAAGTAGAAACAATCATTCATTGTCCAGCTCACAATCTTGAGTTGCAAATGCATTTTTGCTGCTTAAAAAATACACCACATTGAATTGAACGAATATTCGTTCTAGTTTGAAAAATACTGAACACAATTTTAAGCGATCGCCGGCCAATTCTACAAATAATAAAAGTTATAAGTGAAAAACGCTTTGATATTACTATTAAACGCTATCTAGCTTTCGTTTTCTTAATCTATTTGCTCTAGTGATTAATAAATTGTGAATTTATGCCATTTTTGCTTGGTGAGTTTTTTCTTGTTTTTATCAGTGTCCATACCCTATCCAGATCCTAGACATTGCGTAAATAAAAGCCTTAGGGTGTGTGACATTTTTTCTCTTGATCTTGAGAAGATTTTTAAATATCTGAATTTTAGAACAGTTTTGTTTAATTTAAATTTTAATGTTAAAAGGTTGCCAGAATGATCTTTAAAAACAATCAATTCTATTGAATGTGGTTTTCGTGTGGTTTTCTAGCGCAACAGATATGCGTACGGAAGAAGTGGCAAAGTGAGAAGTTGTTGTGTGGGCAGGAACAGCAACCGACGCAGCTCCTCCAGCTCACAGGTAAAGGTAACAACATCCAAAATTATACCACATGAAACTATATATTCAGGTAAAAATACGCCAAGCAGAATTTATTTGGCAAAAAAATTGTTTGAAATTTCAAGTGAACCTTAACACTTCAATTGAAGAAATCAGAGGCTGATTAAGGTTTGAACTATAGAATTAATGAACTATGAAGTCATAAAAAATCGTGTCAAAAGGAGTCATCATGGCAATTTTGCACGCAAATTTAAGGACTACAAAAATGGCGAAAAGCGACTGATCTGGCTGCTTTTCAGGCAATTTTTTATGCTGAATTTGCTTCAACTTATTTTCATTTTCAACTTATTTTTATTTTCATTTGCTTGAATTTGCATTTTCAACAAACTCACGATCAGTTGCGTTATTCCCTTCTTTCATCTCTCACCCACACAAGAAAAACTTTAAAATTTTTAACTTGAAAAAGAAAACATTTTTCTAAATATACTTTAAAATGTGTTACGAACATTTTATGCTATAACTAGCTTTACTTATTTTACATATGAATAATCATGGAAAACTCCAGAAAAAGAACACCCTTTCAAAAAGTTCTAGAGCTAATGAGTGCTTCAGCTAGTGGAGTATGCTGCAGCATTGAAAACGAGGAGAAACTCAATCAAAGACCCTGACGGCTCTTCTACAACGTGAGCAGTTCTTGATTCGTGCAAACCTTATTCAACCAGAGTTTTTTTCAGTTTTTAGCTGAACAACCACCAATTAAATATATGATACATGTTTTTGCAACTCATATGTATTTTTATGATAGGGGCCCAATTTCAGCTCAAATTCAGCCACAGTTAAGTTTCCAAAGCCCCAGAATAAAAGAGCAAAGCTCTATTTGAGAAAAAAAAGTTTTTCAATGAGGGAAATACCGAAAAAGGTTTCTATCAATTAAGCCAACTGTTCATTTATTTCTCTAGGGATACCCTGGAGTCTCGAGTGGGTAAGATGGAACAGCAGCAGCAGCAGCGACATGGAGTTGCAGTGGGAACCCCTCGGAGCAACAAGAGCAGGAGCATGGTCGATCCTAATGTAGTAGTGGGTGGGGATGATAGAAGTAAAGCGAGTAGTGGCGAGTTGACTTTTGTAACTCATGATCTGATGGTTCTGTGGCACCCTTTGGGCCAGAGTGCAAAACAGACCAAACAGTTCCTGACAAATGCTGCCCAGATCCTACAGCGCAAGTCATCAAATATCAGGGCAAGAATTCATCACTGTCCGCTCAAAGCAGTTTTAGCTATAGCATACATAGATGTCTGGTAATAAATACTACCAGAGATAAATTTCTTCAATACGCAGTTGGTAGAAATATCATAGTTAAGAGAGTTTAGAGAAACTAAAAACTATAATATCATGAATATCAAGAATTCTATTGTGTTTATTATGTTTAGATAGTGAACATATCAGCGAAGAAGAACTCATTCCTAGCTTCTCGTTTTCCTCAGGTGAGAATTATCATAGTTTTTAAAGTAACCCACTCTAATACTTTTGTAAAGACTCGCTAGCTACCAAAGAAAACTTAAGCTTTTGTATATTTTTGTAAAGAGTCGCTAGCTACCAAAGAAAAATTAAAAATACAATCTGGATTTTTTTCTAATGGATTTCATTTGTAAGGTTTCCTGTGTTCAGAAAATTCTGTGCTTCTTCTTGCAACAGCTCGAGCAAGTCTTGTGGAATTGAGGAATGTTTAAAAAATTGCCAATAATTATTTTATCAAGCTACTCAATTTTTTTTGTAATCTACGACGGATTACATGGCTAAGAAATCTGGTTGCGAAAAAGAGCTGAAAAGGTAATTGAGTGCGCATATCGAATGTTGACTCACCTCTTCGTTCAGACCCTGGACAATCTGTGGCCAGACGGGGTGTGTGTGTCAATTGAACAGCTCGTCAGTCTCATCCGGAAGCTGCAGCTGATGCGAGTGGAGGCAGCCAATCAGAAGAGAGCAGCCCTCGCCCTCAACAAAAACAGCCAGGCATCCAACCCCATCGTCATATACTGTCATGTAAAAGCATGTTTGAATAACCCAGTGGCCAACGGCCAACTTTTTTTCCCTCCATTTCTTAAAAATTTCTAGCACATCAGATGTTTGTGTTTTTTGTTTAGGGGATGTTTGGTGAACTAGTTCTTTTTGTTTGTCTGTTTTTGGATTCATTTGTTCATTAGTGTGTTGATTCGATTCATTTCCTGAATTTTTTTGAACAATTTTTAAACCTGTGAAAGAGTATATTTGTGTTAATTCACGGAGTGCGTATTCTTTTGGGTAATAAGGTAATAAATTATTTCGATGTTGAACAATTGAACTATTTTGAAGCTATCTGAAATCCGCAAGAGGTTTTGTAACAAAAAATTTAAATTCAGGCAGAATTTCATGTTATTAATATCAGCGCGATCATTGTAACCTAAATTTAAACAAAAAAAGATAAGCATAATAGCTGTAACGAGTTTCGAACGTACAATATGTTACCCTAATTATGGTGATAAAATTTTGTAATAAAAAACTTATGAAGAAAAATTGGAGTCCTTTGAAAATGAGCCAAGTTCAAGGTTGAGGGTAGCGGGATAGTCGTGAGAGTGGGAAGTTTGGGGTCAGACTAAGATATTTTATTGGAAGATGATTAAAACATGGGGCTGATGGAGGTGAGGCAACTGGAAAAGTGTTTGTATTGTGTTGTGTGTGCGTGTAGGGTGAGCGTGGGAAGGTGGTGTTGGTGCTGTTGTGTCTGCTGGAGAGTCTGGTCAAGTTCAAGGAGGTGGAGTGCTGGACTAAGCGAGAGATAGAGGCCATAGCCAAGTATGTGGAGCCACTACACAACACACAACTATGTCCCTCCTTCAGAAAGTGAGTCAAGTCAGATCATCATACTCTGTTACTGTTACTGTTATTTCTATACCTATAACCTCTGTCTTCTATTATGGCTAGCACTCATGACATTCTTCGTATCCAATAGAAAAGTATAATATTTTCCATCTTCGAAATTCGATGTAAAGTGAACTGAAGTGAAGTGAGGTGTTAATCGTGTTATTCAGTTCAAGCGACATCATTGAAATGTTAATCAGGTCAAGCGACATTAATGAAATGTTGATCAGGCCAAGCTCACTCAGGCCATTAATGAAATGTTCACTCGTGTAAATCAGGTCAGGCGACATTAATGAAATCGTCTTTTCGACTAAGCGGTTTCGAAGTTTTAAGTTTCATAGACTTCATAGGTCCAAAGGCGCCCAATCTTACTCGAACCACAAAAGAGCGGGCTGGTTGCCCGACATTCAAACCATTAAACATTATACTCTTCCTAACAAAGTTTTATGCGGTGAAAATCCCCCTTTTAAACAAGTAATGTGACTATAAAAGATTGGTTAACTCTGTGTTCGCCCGCCTTGTAATAGTCCCAGAAGTTTAAGTGCACATTATTCTTCATTTTTCCCGCTAATATTTTTGGTTTTGACGACTCAAAGGCAGCGAAGACGATCTACTATGTTCTTTTTAACACTAGTGCTTTAATCTGTTGAAGGTAGATGAGAGCCTTTAGCGCCTCTTTTTTCCTACACTTTTCCCGTTTCATATTGAACAATATCAAAAAAAGTACACTTTTATACTGCTCTGGAATATATTTCGACTAAACGTTTGAGCATTTTAGCATTTTAGGTGCTTAAAATCAAACATAAATGCATCCCGGATCCACAATTTTTTTATCTTGAGAAAATCGAATTAATTGGAATTTTGATAACTCTTTTCATAGCCGTTTTCTTAAGGAAAAAGCTATCCAGATGATAGGAGAATACTCACAAGTTTCCTTTTATTCAATGAAAATGTTCAGCAGTTTTTAGAACAGAAAGTTATTTTTAAAATTGGAGGAAAAAGTAACAAAAAACTTTTGGTCATTTCACGGCAATTTTTGAACGGAATTATTATCCGGTTTTTCTATCCAGGGTTAGCCTCCCAGTGATAATTATCACTAATTCAGAAAAGAAACCAATTATCGCCATCTATCATTCAGTCTCATGATGATTGATCATAAAACTGGGTTTTCTCTGGATCAGTGATGATTATCTCTGAGACAAATCCGTAATGGTTTTTTACTGATTCCGATCCATTCATAGGCTTAATGTGAAGCGGAATTTTGGCTCGGGGATCAAAAAAACTTCATAGTTATTACCTTGCTTAGGTTTTATTTTTTTTTTCAAGTGGGAACTGTGTTCCGAAAGTTTTGTGCTTCTTGCACCGCTTGTCTTGTTCCGATGTCTTCGCGTAGTTAAGCAAAAAAAACTATGGCGAACGAAGGGTGTCTTTTTTCCGCCTGATTTGGAATATTTCAAAGAGAACTCATAGGGGTCAAAATTATTATCACGTTAACACCCTGGTCGTGATTGGATTCCGAAATTATTAAACTGCTAATAAGTTATCTCAGAATCGAAAAAACGGCCCCTTTGGTGCTCTTCTAAGATGAGTTTTTTTCGATAAATTTTGTAAGTTATAAGCAAGTTGTTCCTTTCTTGAAAACAAATTTATCCGTTATTTTTCATTATAACTGGTCGGGAGCGGATCTACGTTTTTCTCAAGGGGGGCGGATTTTCAAAAAACGTTCTAAAATTTTGTCTACGTTTTTTTAGGCCAATCAAATTGATAGAGTTCTCTTAATCACTATAAAGACCATATTTTGACCAAATTTTCTGCGCCGCAAGCAAAATTTGAAAAACCTGGCCAAAAAAGGCGTTTTTGGGCACTTTTTTGAAAATTTTGACCAAATTTTACGTCTATTAGACTAATTCACATGGAACTTAGACGGCGCAATTTTCAGGTTATTATTATTATTATTATTATTATTATTATTATTATTATTATTATTATTATTATTATTCTATTTTTGCAGCTTTTTACCGTTTTGAATTGCTCTTTTACTTCTATCTTTTAATTGCACAGCAATCGGCTATCCTTGTTCATGTTAGGTACTGGTCGTACTTCCGCTTCATCATCTGGCGCCAGTTCGTGCCCCACCCCAAGGTGCTCTACCTCAACTTCATCACGCTGAGGGGTGTGCCCAACATCGAGGCGGAGAGTGGGTTCCAGGTCTACTTCAAGATATACAACATCGCCACCCTCAAACTACAGTACATATCCGGCATCTTGTAAGTCCATTCATTTTGATTACTCTTTTGGAGCAAATTGGATCTCATTCTTTATCTAAAACTAAATTTTTATGGAATCTAATTAGATCTTTGTTTTTTTGTCAAAGAAGGCATGAAAATATGGTTTGGAATAAATGGTTTGCCCTTTAAGGTTGACTTAGATCAACCGTTCTTTTTGAACTTTTTACTAAGTATGTGGTTTTATTGAACTTTATTGAATAGGCCACAAAATGCTGTTCGCCGCAAAAACACCTTCAGGTTAAATTCAAGTGTAGGCTCAGAAAGTGGCCACAGAACAACTAGTGCGTTATTCACGAAATGGGACTTTTCGCATTTGGAAGTTGACTTATTGTATAGTTTGTTTTGGTTGTCCTCCGGCAAAAATGGCACCACTCTCAAGACCAAATCGGACTATGGCACATTGGTTTGGACTCATGTGAACAAATGAGGGCATAAGTGTCCAATTTGGACTATTACACGAGCTGTTGTCTGGCAGAAGTGTTTTCTATGCAGATACAGTGGATTATGGTAATTTAGTTGGGGCTGTTTGTGTTTCAGTTTCATTTCACACACTCTGGGATCTGTGAGTCTGAAAGTGTTGCCCACTCAACCACTCGCAGGAGACGTCCTGGTAAACCCCACAAAAATACCACCTCATTAAAATTATTATTATGCTTGTCTCTTACCATTCCTAACTAACTGCTTATTTTACTCTTTCTTATAACATAGTCATTGGACCCCTCTTACATTTCAAGACAGCAGATGCTCAACGGTTTTATACAAAATGAAACCAAAAAAAGCATTCAATTTTTAAAATTATATTACTTAATAATTGATTATTGTTGGCATTAGTTATGTTCAGTTTGATCGGACGCATATGCAATCCTAAAAAGTCACCGGCAGTAAGTAAAAAATAAATTACAGGAAAATAGTTTTTAGTAAATTTTTTTTTAGATTTAACTGAAGTTCTCGAGTTCTTCCATTTTGATTTGAATCTTCAATGCCTTATTAATGGAACTTTATATAGTACCCGCAAAAAAAAACAAGAGTCCCCTACCGCATCTGGAGAATATGGTCAACTGGAAATTGTTAGAATATTCCTTTTGTGTGCGTTGTAGATCAGGTGCTACTTGACTCGGTCCAAGAGCAAACAGGAAGTGACCAAGTCAGCAGACGAGTTGTCCTCCATGCCAGTGTCCATAATCAAGACACCCGCCACTCAGAGCCAGAGTGAATTCAGTCTGGCCAACAACAATGAAAACAGTGAGCAGAAGAGTACTGGGGGAGGAGGAGGTACAAGTGGTACTATAGGGGGCAATCATCATCCGGAGCAGCAGGAGTTGATGTTCCAGGCGCAGTTCAACGCCAGTGCCATCCAACCCCCAGTCGCATCCTTCTCTAAAGACCAATTGGACAAGGCTTGCAACGGTAAACACCACTGAAATGGACCAATCAAATCCTTATCTATAATCTTAGGTTAAGAAAACAGCTGATCAAATAAAACGGATACAGTTATAGTTCAAGTAGATAATTTAGAACGCATTGTGCGGATAATCAGTCTCTTAATCACTGGCAAAGGTTCACGCATTTGCTTGCGGTTAAAAAATTTTAAATTTTCGTACGGTTAAATTTTCGTCCGGTTAATGCTGTCGCCATTTAAAAATCTCAAATGAAATTGAAAAAGATGATGGCTACTTGTTTGCAATTCCCAAAATGCAGCCAGATAGTTTGTTTTCAGATGACAGATTTCCAATGGACAGCTCAGTTGAGTTGGTCATCTCAGAGTCACGTCAATTCCAATCAGGTAATTCACTCTAAGTTTCGTCTTCGGTTGTATGAGCGTGAGGGATTGCAAATCGCTGATCAAATCCTGAGCTCCATTAAACACAGAAGTGAAGATGAGCTTCGCATGACTTGTGATACACAATAAAATGCCAAAAATCAAAAGATAACGTGTCTCAAACGAAATTTGAAAAACTTGTGAATGAAATTTTGTTGAAGAAATCGCAGGCTGAAAAATCAAATTATAACTTTTGCAGCTGTTATAGAAGTCAATTTTCAGAAACTAGAAAAAAGAATTGGGCTAAACTTCATCCATTTTTTTCTAAAAATCAATAGATGGGAACAATAAGAAAACATTCGATCGAAAAATTAAGATACAAAAATTCGTAAATGCACTGAAAAACTTCATTACTCTTGTTAAAGTTTAGAAGAGCAATAATTTTTTGAATAGCGCATTCTAAAAAAAAGCAATTTGGATAAAAAAGCTTATCTACTATTTGCTATAGTAAAAAATTAAAATTAAAGAAAAAAATTGAAAAACTAGTTTTCAAAAAAACGAATGCAAAAATTACAAACAATTGCTCCAAAACAAGAAGTTGCAGAAAATCTCAAAAAACTTGAAAGCCTATGAAATTAACCTCATCAATCATAACTTTTGAAATATGATATTTATAGGCAACGGTAAATAAGCTGAATAACAACAGAAAATTTAAATTAAAAAGCTCCAGAAAAGGAATAAAAAAACGCATTGAAATTTAAAAAAAGTCCAGAAAAGGAAATAAAAAACGCAAAACGTTTTTTTTGCTTTAGCCAAAAAATTACACTCCTAGTTCTCAAGCGAAAATTTCCGCCACATTCTTTTGTTTACGAAAACAGTGGAGTCAAATTTGCAAAAAAAAAAATCTGGAAATTTTGTTGACATTTTTTGACATATTGTAACAATACGTCAAACCATCAACTTGAAACGATTTCAAATAAAATTGCTCAAACCTAGAACTCACCAACTAAAAAAAATTTAAAAAAATTCCATGCGTTTTAAGAACAAAAAAACCAGAAAACTTGCATCCAAAAAACAAGCTGATAATAAAAAGCAAATAAATTTTAGACAAAAAATTTCAAAAAACCTTTTCAACTGCCAGAGAATTTTGCCGCCCATAAAAACCAGCAAACCAAAAATTGTATTTACCTTCATGAAAAACGTACTTAAAACATCTGCCAAAAGTTCAAAAGTTTGTTTACGAAATTATAATCCCGGCAAGTAAGCCGACAAAAAGTAAGTCAAAATCAACAAAGCCGACAAAAAATCAGTTTATACCTAAAAAATTTTCAGCTGTGAAGCAACCATTACTTCAGTAGTCCTGTAGATCTAAGCCAGCTGTTCAACTACAGCTTTTGGTCATGCAACTTGGGTAGAAATTGAAATGCAGTTGTTCAAGTTTCAGTCATCCTGTGAACAAAGTTTTTTACGGGAAAACGTGTAATACCTCAATTGCAATACCCTTGCTTAGTGCAAGGGTAATAGGAGGACATCAGAGAAAATATTTATTGGTTTTAAAAAAATTCTAGAAAAGCCTTGAAAATTACAAAATAAATATCTACCAAAAAAGTTGAGGAAACGCTAGTGTTATTGCTCATACACTTCAAAAGAATTTTTCAGAGCTGAAAAACAAAATTGCAATTCCTGAATTGGAATTTTTCTGATATTTTTTGAATCTAAAAAAGTTACAAACTGATTTCTTTGATAGACAATTTTTGAATAGTTTCTGTAAGTCTTTTGAACTTGATTTGGTACGCAAAAGTTTTAAGGGCACAATAACCAAATGCTGAAATTTCAAAGTTTTTCAGTTGAACTTTTTCAGGCATGCTCTTCAAAAAATGAAAATTAGATTTATTTTAAGCGTTTAAAACAGTTTTTTTTCTTTTTCGTTCCCACACCACAAAATGCACACCGCAAAATCAATCCAAATTCAATTGAATCAGGCTAATTAGTCTTAATAATTTCATACACCGTTCTTAAAATTCAGCTTAAAATTCATAGTTTGTCAATATTAGAATATTCAAAAACTATTAAAAACCAGTTTTTGGAATGTCAGAACATTCAAAGATTTGTCCTGATACGAACAGTCTTGTTATAATATCCCGCTCCACAAAATCGTTTCCAAATTGTACTGAGGCAGCTAACTGGTTTTTTACTCTATACACGACTCAAATTGCAACTCATAGTTTTTGATATTATCAGCCTAAAATTCATAGTTTAATCAGTATTTAATTTACCAAATGATCCGAAGCCAATTAAAGGGCAGTCGGAAAAATTAGGGCTTTGCCCTGATTTGAACAGTCTTGTTATAGTTTTATGAGACTTCAAAGTATTTTCAAAAATTGGTAGTTTAAATCAAGGGTTTTAAAGAAAGAAACAATAAAACACTTAGGTTGATTTGATTTTGTTAATTTGAATAGGATCGTTAAGTTTTTTTTCAAGATTGAAAGGTTTAATTGCAAAAGTGCTTGAAAATTGGAAGCCATTTGCAAAAAAAAATTGAAGCAGGCTTGTCAATGTATGCAACAATTAAACAACTAAAATTGATTTTGATAGATTGAATTGGTGTCCCAAGAATGAAGCAAGCTAATCAAATAGTGAAAATATGAAACTGTGCTTAATAATCTAAAAGCTGGATATTAATTGCATAAAACAGTAATTTCTAGCATGCTATGTTTTATAATGTTAGCATGAGTTGGTTCGCAAAGGATAAAGTTATGAAGCAGGCGAAACAAAGGATGCAATTATGAAGTTTTTAATAAAAAAATTAACAGCTGGAAACAATTCGCAAAAACCTAGAGAATTAATATCTGGAAAAAATTGTTTCCCTGGAAAAACACTGGAAAAAATTGCTTGCTAAAACTGAGTAGCAAAAAATTCGAATTTCAAACAAGATTTTCAACGGCTGAACATTGAAACTTTTCAAGTTGATTTTGATATCATGATATGTTTAAGTAAAAATGAAACTTTTGTAAATCAAGCCATTCCATGCCATTCATGCTGCTTCTAAGAACTTAAAATGTTTAGCAGAACGGTAGAAATTGTAAAAAAAAATAAATTGAAGCTTTTTTCTGTTAGTTTTTTTTGTGGTTTAAATCACATCGTCAAATCTAGCGTCAAATTAACATTAAAACTTGAGAAATCAACAATTTACCATCAATGCTATAGAGTCTGAATAGGTTTCAGTGATAGCGGATAGCTCAAATTTAAAAATCGTAACAAGTCGGAACTCTACATTTTTTTCGAAAGTCGGAACAATAATTCACATGCTGTATTTGTGACATCTGGACTCAAATAAAAATCAGTTGAATCCTGTCTTCTTTTACCTACAAGACAGGACTCAACTGCTTCTCAATTGAAACTTCTACCTGAACTTAGGCAGCGTATCACATCAGAGCAGAAGGCGGAACGGTAAATGAGCCAATAGTTCATTAAATATCTCAAATTCAAAAATCTTAAAGTTTGGAATTCTACAAAATTTCAACCGTTTTGTGACAAGTGAATGTAAAAAATCCAGTTAAACTGATAGTAATGAAATTCTGACAGAAATATTAATTGATCTGAAAAGTCTGCGCTATATTTGCGTTGAGCTTTTTTAGTGTCGTGAAACACTGGACCAAGTTTTTTTTTTGCTCGCAATGGTGTATCAGAATACCCGGTACTATTTTCTCGCTGAGGGTTGATTTTGTAACTTTTTGTTTTCAATTTCCGAATTTGCTGAATTTTAGCAGGTTCTGTAGCATGAACAAGACCACTCGTATCAGGGTGGAGCGCCGAATATTTTGATGCTCTTAAATTTTTTATACTAACATTCATAAGGTCAGATATAAGAAAGTTTCAATTTTTTACTTGATTTTGCGACGCTTGCAAGGAATATCAAGTATGAGGGTAAATAAAGTTTTTGTTTCTAAATTCACCTTTAAGCGAGAATTATTGGGCTCTGTTCAAACTCCGCGCGTTAACTCGTTAAGCATTAGCAACAAGTGGATTAAGGCTGGCTAAAATTAGCTCAGAATTTTCAATTTAGCAAATTAGCAAAAACTGATTAATTTTTCGTTGCGAAAACGTTTTTTTTTTCAGCGTCAGTCGACTCTTAATCCTGGTGTGAGCCTGCGTTCACATCAAATACAAACTTATATATACCGAATTGTAGCTTTTTCGGATAAAATAAATTTTTGATGAAATTGGTCTGGTCAGAAGTTGATTGATCTATCATTGAGAGGTTGCTTGAGTTTTTCAAAAATATATATTCAATTTTAAGTCTTCCAAAACTTTAATGACAAAAATACAGAATAACGGAAATTGGATTTTGATTCGATATGATGTTTTTTGAGTTTTACAAAAAACTTCAAATTGTTTAAATTAGATGTTTTTGTTAGATTTTTCAAGCAAACTTTTGAACACAATTTATGCACTGAAAAATCAATAAAAAAACCTGGATTGCGAGAATTTTGATTCTTGAACCAAAAAAAAAACAGGTCCAAAAGTCAAATGTCAAACTGAAAAAACTAAACAGAAAAAGAAAAAAATAATTAACCTTTTATTTAAAAATTAAAAATTCTGTCTGGAAAGCAATACAATAGCTAAAGAATTTCTATTTATCTTTAGTTTGATCGATATGGCAGTTAAATAATTGAACACTCCTACACTATCTGAATTTCAAATCGATCATATTTTCTTGAACCGATCAGATTTGAACATTTTTAGTACCAAAATAGGTTTTTGAAAATTGAAATTGACAATTCAAAATTATGAGCTAAAGTTGAAATTCATTTTGCCTTGGTTTTCACTAAGTTTTTAAAAGTGGCTGAAAACCTCTAAACACTGCTAGCAATGCATTAGAACTGAAAACTGTTAGCTTTCGAATTGTTGGTAGTAAACATGCGAGGTTTGAGATTAAATTTATGGTTAAACGAGGACTGGAGCTAGCTTAACCAATCAACAAAATTAGATAAGACACAGCTAAAAACTATTTTCATTATTCTTATCTACTAGCCAGAATGGTCAACCTCAGCCTCATACATGCCAAAAATACCCGTACCTGATTTTTTGTTGCTAAGCTTGACAATTTTCCTCAGTTTTTAGCTTTTTTAAAGTAAGTTCAAAAGTAGATTGAAAGCTTTGAAAGTGTGTATTGGATGACAAAAAACTATTTGATGCATCAAATGAAGTAATTAGATCGATTGTAAAGGTCTGATGGGGATGATCAATTTAAAATAGTTTTGAAAAAAGCTGCTCAAGATATGAATCGCGGCAAAAATTAACAAGACTGCCCGTATCAGGTCGAAGCCCTGAATGTTCAGACTGCCTTTTAAGGTCTACGGAGCAGCAATGACATGAAAAAATTGAATGTAATAAAATAAAATGATTTTTTTTTGTTTGATATTTTTGTGAAAATCATCCCCCTCGCGGCATATACAAAACAAAATGATAGATTTCGCTTCTAGTAACAAATCAATTATGGCAAACAAGATTCTTTCAACCAATTTGGAACAATTTCTAAGACGGATTAAATCTCAGCTTACGCATTAATAGCGCGAAATATATCGCGCTTTAATTGTCTCAAATTGGTCAAAATAGCTAGCTTTTGAACACTTATAACTTTACAAAAAACATTCACATGCAAGATATCTTTTCAAACTTAAGCTCAGGACAACAATACTTTTTAAATTATTTTAAAAAAATCCGTGAAAATGGCTAGTTAAAAAGTCGAAATTTGTCTGAAGAAAAAATTGAAAGTCGGAATAATAAATAGAAATCCAAATGTTAACAGGACTGCTCAGGACAAAGCCTTTTAAGTTATATGGTCCAGTATTCGCTTAAAAACTTGATAATTTGATAACGTTTCAAAAATTAATAGATTTTAAAAAATTTTAGATTTTTTTTAAATTATACCCACACGCCATATAAAACTGAAAACGATAGATTACGCTCCTGGCAACATCTTCTTCTTCGAACAATTTGCAACGATTTCTAAATCTGATTAAATCACCGCCAACGCGCCAAATATGTAGCGCATTAAAATTTAGCGCCAATTTAGAATTAACATCTAGCGCCACAAGCGCGATATATTAAGCGCGTTATCCCAAATTGCCCGTATCGGCAATCTTTAAACTCCCATAATTTTACTAAGTTTAAATTTACGTCACAACTTATTTGTTTTTGTTCCGACTTTCGATACGAAAGTAACGGAATATTTGTGCTCGGGGTGGTTTTTTTTTTCAGACAAATTTCGACTTTTTAACTAGCCATTTTGACAAAGCTTTTTATATCATTCGAAAGCTATTGTTGTCCTGAGCTCAAATTTGAAAAGATATTTTACCTGTGATTATTATTCGTAAAGTTATGGGGGTTTAAAATTTGCCATTTTGGCCGATTTGGGACAATTAGCGCGCGATATGTTTCGCGCTATTAACGCGTAAGCGGAGAGTTAATCCGTCTTAAAATTGTTCCAAATTGGTTGAAAGAAGCTTATTTGCCATAATTGATTTGTTACAAGTAGCGAAATCTATCCTTTTGTACTTTATATGGCGTGTGGGGGGATGATTTTCATAAAAATTTCAAATTTTAGAAAAAAAAATCATTTTATTTTATCACATTTAATTTTTTGATGTTATTACTGCTCCATAAAACATTAAAAGGCAGTCAGAACATTCAGGGCTTTGCCCTGATACGAGCAGTCTTGTTATTTTTTAATAACAGTGAGAGGAGAATGAATTGATAAACGAGCCGTTTAAATCAGTTAAGAACATCGAAAAGCTACATAGATGGAGGTATAAAATCCTGAAAAGATGCTCATTTCATTAGACAAAAATTTAAAGGAAATTTATCATAACGATCAAAAACAAAATTTATGCTTAAAAAGAAACAAGACTGCTCGTATCAAGGCAAAGCCCTGAATGTTCCGACTGCCTTTTAAGGTTTATGGAGCAGCAGTAAAAGCATAAAAAAATGAAATGAAATAAAATAAAATGAAAATTTTTTCTAAAATTTGAAATTTTTTGCGAAAATCATCCCCCCACACGCCATATAAAGTACAAAAAGAGAGATTTCGTTCCTTATAACAAATCAATTATGGCAAATAAGCTTCGTTCAACCAATTTGGAACGATTTATAAGACAGATTAAATCTCCGCTTACGCGTTAATAGCGCGAATTATTCCGTCAAAAATGGCTAGTTTAAAAGTCGAAATTTGTCTGAAGAAAAAAAAACCCACCCCGAGCACAAATATTCCGTTACTTTCGTATCGAAAGTCGGAACAAAAATCGAAACCTCATTAGTACGATCCCTCAAAAATTAGAATAAATTAGGGGATCAAAGTTTCAGTCGAGAATTGGAAGGCTGGGGTAGTCTTATAGCATTTGCGCACAAGTTGCAGATTTTTTGATTTTTTCCTACTTCCCTTTTTGTATATTTCAAAAAAATTGCAATTTATTCACACCTAGAAAGATTTGCAGGGTCATAATTTCAGGTTTGTCAAAATATTCAAGTCAAGTTCTATCATTGAAGGCATAAAAACTTGGACAACTCATTTTCAGAAGGATAATTTTGGTTTGCTCAAGCAAAACAAACACTTTTCGCCCATTTTAGTTTTAGCTCAGTAGTCACGTGCGTCATGCCAAAGGAGTTCATGGAGTTGTGGTGTTGGTTTTGTTGTGATAATAGTCTGGTGTTTGAATGTGGTGGCGTTGTGTTTCAGGGGACGTTGACTTGGGGACAGTGTTACCAGCCTCCAACAGCCAACCCCCCTTGAGGAGTACAGAAAGTGTCAGGGAGAACTCATTCGTGTCCACTGGTGGGTACTCTTCATACATACTTCAATTTTCACCTTTTATAACTTTATATGGTTAATGTTTCTAACCAACTATACTGTTTCTACTGTATTGTTAGTAATTGCGTAGTTTGTTTTGGTATTTTGTTGTCAGTGTTTTGGGTAATCAACACTTAAATTACATTTTCAATTTATTTGGTCAAAACTGGTTGCGTAGATTTCATTTATAACCAATTAAAAAATCGAGGCAAGAATTATCAATGAGAAATTTTTTCTTTCCGTGAAAGTAACTAACGCCTGAAATACATTAAAAGATCCGAAAAGATTAGCACTATTAGAATTTGAAAAGGTTAATGCTATATCAAAAACCGAATAATTTTTGTGATAACATTCTTTGTTTTAGAAGCTTAAGCTATTGAAGATTCGTTTTCATACCTTACACTACGCTCATTTGCTTAATATAATGAAGAAAACCGTGTAAACTAAAACAAGAGCTAATTTTCGACATTAAATAGGATTATCATAAAAGAAAAAGATTCAGGGTTTTCAGACTTTACTGCGTTTTTCAATCAGTTAGTCGTAATGGCAACCACAGACAGACTAATCTGATTTTTATGACACCTGCAGTGCTCTACGAATACCTAAAAAGAGAAAAACACAGTCAAAAATTAACACTGATAGTCGTTTGTTGTGCAGGTAGCACATAATGTTTGATCAAATTGATTTAGGAAAGTTTTTTAAAATTTTGAAGAAAAAAAATTGAAAAAAAAAAATCTTTGCTATTTTAGTTGTTTAAACTTTCTGCCAATCTTTTTAAAATTTCGTCAATCTTTTTTTTTAGGTCGACCATTTACATTTTCCGAGCTCTCCCAAAACACTAAGAATTGGCTGAAAACGTTTTTTTAGGTCGACCATTTCGATTTATCGAGCTCTCCCAAACTAAGAAGTGGCTAAAAACGGCTAAAGCTGATTTTAGCCACTTTTTGAAAAATTTTGACCAAAAAATTGCGTTTTTTCGGCGCGCGCTCCCCCCTCAAAATAAGTATATATTGGCGCCAAAGACGCCCGCCTTTAAAAAAATTTTTGAGGTCTGTCACCAAAAATGGATATCTCAAAAAAGTACAAATGGGGACCCTTTGGGTCGGCAGGGGTTCGAATCCCTGAGGGCTATAGGGCTTCAATATGATCCCACATATGCTACATGATCATCCCACGGGCTTTCCTTGAGGTAGTCAAATTTGGCAGGAATAAAGTTAAACAAAGATAGCCGGCTGGTGTACAAATAGCACAATGAAACGACTTTTGAGACAACAAGACAACTGGTCGAAAGCGACAATTCGCACTTTTTTAAGACGCTATAATGCGCTATTTTCCGAAAAAGCAACAACTCCCACCAATTGCTTGCCAGAACCGAGACACAAACTGTTTAAGAAAACGACTGCGCGCCAACGCGCGCGTGGAGCGTCCACCGCGAGGCCACTGGGGGAAATTTCAGCTACTAATAGTCACTTGGTGCAAATTACCGCTTTTTCTTAATATATCCGAAAAATTGTTGTCGCTTTTGACGAATTGTCGCCTCGAGACCCTTACCACTCAAAAGATCAAAAAAAAATTCGTTCAAATCCGACCATAAGTTGCCTAATCATCCGGTTGCTGGCCACATTCTAGGCCGGACATATTTCAGATGGCAACTTTTTAACGTGAAAATCATTTCTTTTTACCGAAATTTGGAGTGGTAAAATCATTCTTCACTCTTTTTTGGACGACGCATGAAAGGCAAAGTGATTTTCAAAAAGAGTCCTTAGTTTAAAAGAAATAGTTCAAGTTTAAGAGAAATATTTCAAACTTCGAGAACACTTTGCAAGAAAGACTTTTTATATCTGAAATTTATAGCTAGCACACTATTAAGGTGTCCGGTTGTAATGATTGGGAATTTTAGGAATTATGGCTCGATATAACTCAGTATATTAATATGGCAAACATTTGGTTACAAGTATTAGAGCAATAGGTAAAGAAGCAAGGAACTTTTTATTTTTCCAATTTATTCACTGCATGTGCTTGTGTTATGTCTGATATATCGAAGATTTGTCAGCTCAGTGAAACTCGGTGGAGTGTTTCGAGATAATCCTAGAGAGACTGAGTGACAATATAGCGTGTATGCTGTTTTATGACTACTGTCGTCAGGCTAGGCCGCTCAGGTAGTAAATTCGAGATAAAATTAGGAAGAACTGAAAGGGTTTCGAAGTCGTGTCAGACCACACGTAGGGGAATCATGGGGAGCGGAAGCTAACTAAACAAGAGATCAGCTGCACCTAAACCAAGACTCCTTCTAAGACACAGGTAGTGTGACTTGATTCGGGAGCACACGGGTAAATTACTTTCTCTATTGCCAGTCGGTCTGGGGTTTGTCAATTTTGTCAATGAAACAGGAAACACAGACACGCATACCTGAGCTGAGAATGGGTTTGGGAGCCAAAATAACTTTTACAGAGTAGATACTTTTCTTAATCCCACTGTTTCATTTCAAATTCGCTCTGTTGTATATCTAGTGGCCAAGCCAAAACAGAAGGCAATAATTGGTGTCCTCTCGCAAAAACAATTACCACTTCTGTGTCAATTTCTCAACATAAGACAGAAACCACCGTTTGAGCTCTCCCTTTCGACTTAAATACTTTTGAGGTTTAACTTGTTAACTTTGGCTATTTCTTACTAGATATAACCAAACACTACCTTTTAGTTGAGGGTGAATCGGACGTGCGACTTAGTGCGACTAGCGTAGGGTCCATCTACAAAGCACATCTTCAAAAAAAGGCCTTGCGTGAATCAGAAGAACCCGCAGCGAGCGAGAAACCATCATCAGAACCTTCCAGATCGTTTTTGGACCCCAATTCAACCAAAACTGTTTCTGAGGCGAAGACAAAAGAATTGGATTTAATAACTCAGAGCGACACCCACAGTTTCCAAAACAATCTTCTGAACCCACAGCTCTTTCAACAACAACAGTCGCAACAACGGCGATTACACCAAAATAGCTCCAGTACTTTACCAAAATTCTGTACTGTAGAAACCTCTTCTATTACAAACACAGTTTCGTCATTTACGCCAAACTTTAGTGGGAATAATAGTGTTTTTGACAGTGAGTCAATAACAAGTTCGCTAGCCGCAAACCCGTTTAACCAAAACGTGAACGAGCACTCGCCATTTGATGCTAGCAAGTTCCCATTACCTTCGCCGTCACAAACAGGCACGGAAACAGATTTCACTGTGAACAACACGCCTTCGAGCATTTACACAAACGCCTCGGGGATTTTCCAAGACCCACAAAGTGATTACGCGAACTTCAATCAAAATGACTGTTCAAATCCTCTACATGTCGCTAATGATCTAAATCGCAGAAGTAATGTGAGTAATTCTGACAAAAGATACGCGTTCCAATTTGATGATTTTGACCTTGATTTATTGGATAGCGAGGATTTTCTAGCTGATTTTAAGCCGGCTACCAGCGAATCGGCCACAAAATTTCCAATTACTAGTCTTTCTGAAAGTGGAACTCGAGTTACGTTCTTAGATCAGTACAAACCAGCCAAAAGTTTTTCCAACGACGCCTTACTAGACAGTTTTCCCCAAAAAGGAAGAGTAGAAAACTCTTGGAGGTCTGACAACGAACTACTAACCGATTATGATGACCCTTCGAAACTCACAATTGGGACAGACTTGGTTCCTTTTAAGGAACGAAGGAACTCCGAAGATGCTTTAGAGAAAAACGATCCAATTGGTCAAAGGAGGGGTGCATCGTTTTCAACCACAGCCAGAAAACGTTCGGGGAAAAATTTCAGCAAATCACAAGATAACATTTTGGGCCCGAGTAGAGATAAGCAACTGAACGAACCGGTTCCTACATTACATAAATTTCCCTCGGAGCATTCGACGGAGGCGAGAACTCCCCACAGCGCAGCATTTTCTTCATCTTTCAACAACAATTCGACGCTTTTTGAATTTCCACTGGAAATAGCTCCAACTAATAGTACTGAGAGCCAACCGGCAGAACTGAGCCCGGCTCCTAAATTTCCTCTACAAATTAATTTCAATCAAATTCTAGGGTTGGAACAGAAAGACTTGTTCGAAGACCACGATTACTCAGTTCCGAAGAAAGAATTAGAAAAGACTGTTAAAATCCAAACCGTTGACTCAAATTCCACGCAAGAAGAAAAACAAAAAGGTTCGCAAATGTCACATATGAGAAGTTTCAGCGGCTCTTTCACTTCAACTCAATACCCGGCTCAGTCTCAGCAGCAAAGCCAGTTCAACTACTCGGCGTGGGGCATGCAGACCCCGTACGACAACCCAAACAAAGTCCAGAGTCCACAAACCCCCGGATTCCCTAACAGTTTCAGTACACAAAAACAAAGTTCACAGAGTTCCTATGGTAAAGCGGGAATCAACCAAGGACCGATTCCGTTCCGAGCAAACCAGAGACCAGCGCTTCCTGGATCTACCGATTTTCCATCATTTAATTATGGAAGAAACCGAAACAGATTTCAGTTTAGTCCTATTGAATCCCAACCACCTGCTTATGGAAATGGAGAACATTTATTCACGTCTCCACCTTATGTGAAAAACAAACCCACGCCTGTATGGTCAACAAGTTCTCAAGAACCACAAAACATTTCGGGTAGCTTTAAATCACAGCAGACAAATTCGACACTTTTGCAGACATTCAGTCCTCCTGCGACTGTCGTGTCAAAAATTACAGAAGACCGAACCAACGAAGCCAATGACAGATCGCATATAACAACTTTTCATCGAAGCACTAGCTCATTTGGAGAAAACTCGTCAACTCAGGGACAAACTAACAATGCCAGTGCTTTTGTAAATAGAAGTAGCCTTGGCAGCGCAACGGCTAGTCCCAACCAAGGAACTTTCCAACCCAATGGTCCCACCAACCCTGGTTACAACTTCCAAACATTCGAGTCGACAAATGACTCAAAAAAGTTGCAACTACGAGAGCCGGAGAAAACCGATGCTGCTCCGGAACAAGCATCGAGTTTGTTTGATAGGATGGAAACTGATTTCGCAAAAACTAACGGTATGGATAGAATTTTGATAAAAAAAGAGAAAACTGAACTGATAAAACAAAATGGGACCTCACAAAACATTTCACAGACACAAAAAACTGAAAAACCTGCGCACCAAAATTTTGAGCTGAAAAACCATGCTACTGTTGATGGAGGAAAAAAGAAAGCAGAAGAGTTGAAAGCAGACATCAAACATCATTTTCTAGACGCGGCGCCCTCTACCGACCAACTGAATAGAGTTGACAAGGGGCCACTGACAGAAGATGAGAAGAAAAAGGTGCAGATGTACGCAACACTACGCAAGTACAAACAGAGATCCCAGAGTTTCTCTACAAGTGTGCCAAACATCAGCAAGCACATATCCAGCGAGAGGCTAAACTGGAAATCGACCGATAATTTATCCGGAAAGGGGAGCGAGTCCGGACTTAAAGATACTTTGGATACTCTGAGGTCTTCTATGAAGAACCTTTTGCAAGATGGAGCGGAGTCCGGTCTTCAGACAAAAAATAGCGCGACCCCTCCAATCGATTCTGGTGTCCGAAACAATGGTCAAAAATCTTCAACTTTAATTTCAACTAAACGGGATCCTGTGTTAATTGATCACGGATTACGAGCTCAAGGAAGAACAAGAGCTCAATCTGAATCTGCCAAGAAGTCAACTGAAACCTTCTCTCAACTCGCTCCCGAATTCAACTTACTGTCATCTCATCAAAGCTCAGACATGCGCAATGTCGAGGAGTGGATAGACCGGAACTCCATGAGCGAATTGTCTCAAGCAGGAATTTCGAAGAAATCAGCTGCGTTCGAAGAGGTCGAAGAAGCTGAGATCAAACGAGAAAACCAGAAACAACCTCAGAGAAGCGCGACATTCTCGGCCGCGACTAGCAGTTCAAATTATCCGCTGCCACATAAGGCAGTTACAGGTAACTTTGCCATGGGAAACCAGCACAATTTTGGTAACCGACAAGACGTGCTTACCTCGGAACGACCTCTATCACCTCAGAGCACAAACTCCTTGATGTCTGACTTTTCTCGGCCATCCGATCGAATGAGCAGCCTCAGGCGACAGCCAGAGCCTAATCATCAACAAGAAACGAATATAGAAGTTTTCAGAGAACAAGAATTGACATCGGATAACTTCCTGGGTAATAGATCCCTACATAAGAGCAGAATTACTGAAGCTTTTAGGAATCCGTTTGGAGAATTGACTGGGCACGGACACTCCACTACAAAGTCTCTCTATTCAAGTCCCCCGAGCGAACGTGCGGAGAAATCCCAGTTTCAAAGGTCGCATTTCAACCAAGGCTTGAGTACACAGCCGAGAGAATTTTCTCCAAAAAGTCACTCTTCTAGTCAAGATTTAAATCAGCTTTTCAACTCAAGGACTCCTCTCAGCAGTCTTAATGTCGGCCTAGCTTCAATGAATTCAGCTGCAAGTGACTTTGCACCTCAACGAGAGTCTTCGGTAAGATCTCCAGATGGAGCATTGGATCAAAGAGCCAATAACTTTGGCCCACCTCGTCACTACGGGAGCCTCCATCGAGGAGCTACTCTACAAAACACCAGACTGTCTCGAGCGCCCCAGCAGGGCCTGACTGCAGACAGGTCAAAAAGTATGTGATCAATTACAAGTCGTTACTTCTAATGTTCGCTGTTAGATGGCAACGTTACTGATGAGCTGTTAATGTTCTGCGTATATTTGCAGTTTTTTATTTCAGGTTTCAGCAGTAGCAGACAAAATGGGTACCCGACAGCGCATACCGAAGTACTTCAATTTCATAATAGCTTCCTTTTCATCATGACAACTATCTTCTAAAACATTGGTTAATATACTTTTTAGCAGAACAGCTCAGGAGTTGGACCTGGGACGAAAATGTTCAACAGTTACAGTTCTCTGAAAAGAAGCAAGTCTGCGCAAGACAGAGCAGCCGATTCAGCCACATTGGCTCAGGGTAGGTAGTTCGTTTAATTTTTTATCAGTTTGAATATAACGACTCTCAAAAATTGGAATTAGGGTTATATAAAAAGTCGTTCACAAATTGTTCAGCGAACGAAACATACAGCAGAATGACAACTAAACTAACTCTCTTTCAGATACATTCGACGCACAGGTGGCCGAACTGGATAACATGTGTGCGGAGCTACAGAATGCTGTTTCCTCCATGTTCCTAGGTCAATCCATATTTCCCATTATGAGTTTCACATCCGCTTCAAAATATACTTTGAGCTTAAAAGCAGTCTATGTGATCTTCTCCCTTTAGTAACAATATTTTGCAGATCCTCCCAGTCAAGTTGAAGACAAAAATATTCATGCTTCTCAACTGAATACTTTTCTGGATCAGCCACAATTGGGCCACCGAATGAATGGGGGAGGGGGTCGACCGGCAAGTGGAGGACCACCTAACAGACCATCTCTTCTGACCAGTCAGAGTCTGTCTAGAGGTTCCTCAACTGGACCGCCGGTCGCATCCAGCGCCCACTACAACCACCAACGCACTCTTAGTCCCCCTTCTGCGACCAGCAGACTCCGACCAGGACTGTCACACGTGAGTGGGATCTCAATTAAGTAAAAACATTGGGGCTCATGCTCTTCAGGGCCCCACAGTGTCGTAATATGTGTGTGAAGCTCGAACTTCTGACGAAGCGTTTCGCTTTCGACCACACATTGCTGGGTTATATAAAGGCTTCTAAGTTATATATTATAATAACAGAACAGTTAACATCTGTTGCAGACAGATAATAATGGGACATCATTACTTTTCGCTCAATCACAAGGAAGCCAGGTCACCATATAAAAATGTTATAAGGTCCTCCCTGATGATTCTACTCAGTCTCAGCTGCAGTGGCAGTCCGACGACTACACGAGCAGGTTCAACAGTCTTAACAGAAATAGTGGTGGGGGGACAGAAACGACGGGACAGCAGGGGGGCACGAGGAACAGAAGCATGTCCCAGAACAACGACAAGCTTTCACTAGGCCACAGGTACATTATGAAATAAAACCGAATACGTTAGCTCAATCGTAGACAAACAGTAAAACACTATACGAAAAATTCCGACCTCCAATTCCGAGCTTTTGGAGTCGTATTTAATTTTCATAAATCAAAAATGAGCCATTTTTACACAACCTACGAAGCAATTTTTACGCATTTTGTAATCTTTTCGTGAATTCTCCCAGGTTCAACCAATTTTCCGATAAATTCGTGGTGCTGAGATAATCCGCGTTTACAAATTTGTATTTAATTTTTGCAAATTTTGGGTCTAAAATGCCCTGCAAACAAACCATTAATGTTAAAGTTACTGTCTGTCACTATACTGTTTGTGCCATCAAATTCAAAAAATCAAAAATCGAGGTTAAGGTCTGACAAAAGCGGCTGGAACAGAACGTGACCGTTGAAAACTACATAGCAAAAATAAATTCCCGTTTGCGTAAAATCACTTGTAGTAAAAAAAAACTTTACAATTTTCCCCTATGTTTTTGTCGGACAATAACTAAAACATTCGCCTGCTAAGAACGCCAGTATAATCATACTTTTTGCAATAAAATTATAAACCAAATGCTATCAAATTATATACTAGACATTTTCATCTGAAACTAAAGACCAAATTTGATCATTGTAGGAGCATTGATCATTTGTCTCCGAGTGAGTCAGAAGGTCAATACTTCAATGCCACGGACCTCGTTTCACCCCCGAGTAGTCCTCCCAGCTGGTATAAGCCCTCAATTGGGAGAGAAGAGGTGATGCAACTACTCAGGGACCAGCCGAGTGGGAGCTTTCTGGTCAGAGACAGCAACACCTACCAGGGATGCTATGCACTGGCTATCAAGGTAGATCATCCGCCTCCCGGGAAGCAGCTCACGTCTCCGGATGAGCTAGTGCGACACTACCTGGTGGAGCGCAACAACAAGGGACTCAGGGTCAGAGGACACCAGGCGGAACAATACTTTGGTACCCCCTTCAGCTTAAACTCGAAAATGTTCACTTAGAAGAGTAAACTTCAAGTAGTGTTGGGATGAGAATAGAAACACTTGGAAGCTTATAACAATAATCCAAAATGAATTGAAAAATAGAAATAACGAGAAAGATTAATTTTCAAAAACTCATGAAGTAAATGCACAACCGACTTTCTAAAATTACCTAGAAATCATTTATCTAAGTTTGCCTGTTCAGATGACTTGAAGGCTCTCATTCACGAGCACAGCATTTACCCAGTGTCGCTCCCATGTCGCCTTCTACTGCCTCCCGATGCACAGCCCATTGCTTATCCACAACAGCAGCAGCAGCAGTTCACTTTCGGTGCCTCTAACACATTGCAACAGCGCCAGTCACGCAGCTCCGCCCCGCAGTCCAGACCCCCTGCAGTGACACGTAGGTCCACCAGCCTAGTCAGGGATGCCTCCCCCGCAACCACACCCACTCATACTCAACAGCAAGGCGTGAACACTAATATTTTCATGCCCATGCAGAGAAACACTGTGGCTTCTATGTCCAACCAGTCTCTGGCTGTTCCTCCCAGACACGACATAGACAACATGTCCATGGTCTCCTCAGTTTGTTCGTCCATGACATCGTTGCAGAACTCGGCTGGTGAGTAGAATGTTTTATAGCGCCTAATTAATTTTTCCATTCTGTAACTTTGTTAAATTTAAACTTCTCTGAGGTTAATTAAATGTGAAAATATTACACGGGGCGAAGCTGAGCTTTGCACCACCTACGATACAGCGCAATCATTAAAAAAGGTTGGTCGATAGGGCGCTTTTTAAAGAAAATTCAAAAAGTTGCTAAGCAATGGTCAAAGTTCAAAAACTTGATTTTCTGAAAACGTAACTTTTTCTGCTCATGGCCGGTTAAGAAGAGAAGACTCCCAAAATCGCGTTTCTCGATTGAGCTCTTAACCTGAGGTTTGGCACGGTAATTTTTGAATAAAGTCAAAAAACCAAAAGGCTCAAAGTTTCAAAAATTTTACTCGTTTGAAGGTGATAATTTTTTTCTTCAATCAAATGGGCATAGCAAATCATAATAATAAGCTTTCAACCACATGTTGTGTCGATGTAACCTATGATATTAGATAGTTATCAAAAATAGTCCACAAAACGGTCAACAAATCAGAAAGTTCCGAGCATCACAGCTTTTTGTTTTGAGAAAATTATGCGTAGCCTCTTGTGCAGAAAAGGTTCATCCAATTTTTTTATTTTGATTGACCCCCAAAACCCCGGTTTAGCACAGAAGTTCTTGAGAAAAGTTCTCGACAAAAAAAATCAAAAAAGGGTACAAAAAAAATCAAATCTTTGACTTTTCCGAGGGCCATATTTTTGGGTCAAAAAAATTGAGCGTAGTCTCGTATGCAAAAGAACTCTCTACAACCCTTGTTTTTATTGAACCCGAAATCTCAGATATGGGAGGGTATTTTTTTAGTAAAAGATTAAAAGATTCAAAAAAATCAAAAATTTCACTACTTTTTCGGAGGGCCGTATTTTAATGTGAAAAAAAATTGGGTGTAGCCGTTATAGAGGGGAGCTTCTCATATCCAGTGTGTTCATTGAAGCCAAAATCTCAGATTGGTTAGTTTTGAGAAAACGAAAGAAACGTCAAAAATATAGGTCAAATATTCCCCCACAGCCTTTTTTGAAGGCTGTAGACAAAAAGGTAAAACACATAAGTATTCACAAGGGAGTAAGATATCTTTTTACGAATATCCCTTTTTTGAAATACGGTTGAAGGTTTTTAAGAAAAAAAAAACTTTTTGCAAAAAGTGGTAAAACTTTCCAAAGCGTCTCAAAAAAAACCCAATTCCAAACATTTTCATAATATCTGTTTTTATCAACCAGGAATTCCATGTAAACATGCCAAATGAGACATTTAAGTTCAAATTAGCAACTGAACAAAATTTTGGAAGTGGAAACAATGCCGACAAGGCGCACTAATTGAACCTGAATTTGATTAAGTGATTCAACTGATTTTGTTAAACTAGCTGTTAACCTGAAAAAAAGTCTACGTTCCGAAATGAAAACAGTCTACTGAAAATGTTACATTATTGAATGACCACAAACAGAATGACAATTTTGCGGTCGTTTTTGTCGATTTACTTTGAAGTGAGCTAGATCGATCCGAATTTTTATATCGCTCTAAAAGGCCTGACTAGATAAACCGATAAACTATGGTGCGAATTCAATCTGCAATTTGTATGCAATCAATCGAATTTTAATGCAAACAAGACTGCTCGTATCAGGGCGAGGCCCTGAATGTTCCGACTGCTTTTGAAGGTTTATGGAGCAGCAGCAATAACATAAAAACATATGAAATAAAATAAAATGAAAAAAATTTCTAAAATTTGAAATTTTTTATGAAAATCATCCCCCCACACGCCATATAAAGTACAAAAAGATAGTTTTCGTTCCTTGTAACACATCAATTATGGCAGATAAGCTTCTTTCAACCAATTTGGAACGATTTATAAGACGGATTAAATCTCCGCTTACGCGTTAATAGCGCGAGTTATATCGCGCGTTAATTGTCCCAAATTGGTCAAAATGGCCAAAATGGCAATCTTTAAACCCTCATAACTTTACAAAAAATGATCACAGGTGAAATATCTTTTCAAATTTAAGCTCAGGAAAACAATACTTTTTGAATGATATAAAAAAATTCCGTCAAAATTGGCTAGTTAAAAAGTCGAAATTTGTCTGAAGAAAAAAAAACCCACCCCGAGCACAAATATTCCGTTACTTTCGTATCGAAAGTCGGAACAAAAAGCCAATCAAAGAGACAGACAGCCTGCATGATCAGACATATAAAGCGCATCAACTGGATGGTTTAGATGCCAATATGTAAATGTTTTTATACGTCTCGTACCTTGACATCGAATTAACCAAACTGCATATAACCAAAACAGTTTACCACCAATAAGTGAGTCACCACAAACTGTTTTAGACATTAGCATAAAGGATATCAGATTATCAAGTTTCATTTATGTAATAATGTAACATTTATCTATTGCTACCCTCAAGCTATAATGGAATGGGGTCAAAAAGGGAACATGGCATAAAGTAGACACTTCGTAAGATAATCACAATTGAGATAAGAAAACAAGCGCACGAAATATTTTTGTCGATTTTGATTGTTTACTCCATGACCTGTCTACTCTTTGGTACGATACCATCGAAAATGTGGCTGTGTTATATTTTAGCATGTCTGGTGCTGTATGTGTCGTACCAGACAGTGGAGGGACTGAGTGGGGATGCTGCTCTGTCCAGGGGCAGTGTGGACCCAGAGGCAGTGCCAGACCCAGTCATCCTCAAACTGAAGGTCAACCCCAGAGGAGTCACCCTCACAGACACCAAGAGGAGGTATGCACATATCTTCCTGCTTCTAACAAAGATGACAATTTTAAATCTGCACGAACTACTTCATTTAAAAGAGCGGATTCTACATTTTTAAGAGAGCATAATCAGTGTAACATATTTAGTTTAAACTAATTAGCTTCTTTTAAAAAAACTGATATGATCTCAATTTTTTGCACCGTATGTCATGATTTGAGATGAGCCAAAACTTTCAGCCTTTAGACAGTGAAAATTCATCTTTGGAGCAAAAAAAGATAAATTGCCCCTACTTGATCACAATCAATAGTAGGACATGCTACTCGATTCTTTAGACTGTTCTTTCGCAAGCTGATCCCGATTGAAAACTTGCTGTATTGTGCCATTGACCCCCTGAAGAGAAGTCTGCGGGTAGTGCAGCAGCTGCCAGACAAAAACAGCCAACAGATACACGAGAGAAGGTCAGACTCCTCAGTACATAAATTAAGACTAAATAGTAGTTGACATTAATACTGCCAATTGAACATATTAATACTGTCAATTGAACATCGTCGTATGACTTGATAGTACGAGTTGAAAGTGTTCGTTTTTTTTGCACCATTTGCTTTTTTGTAGTAGGAGATTTGCCTTCTCTTTAGCCATTTCTATTCTTCTTAGCGAACGAATTTGAATCGAACTCAAAAGGCTTTCATAAGTGCAGTAATGTATGAATGTACTTCTGTACATATTTTAGTTTTTTTCCCGAAAAAAAAATCAAGTCGGCCAGATTGGGTGTCTTAACTACGTTCATTGAAACTTAATCAGAAGTCAAATGGCCAAAAAATGGAGCGTGAACAATCTGCAAGATTTTTTGAGGAGAAAATTATTCAAAATGACCTCTATTCAAGAGTCTTCACCATATTTACTGATATTTAACTAAAAAAGAGAAAATAATTTTTCAAGTTGTTCATCAGATTGTGTTTAGTTTGAGTTGTACGTGTTGTACTCATTAGAGCTATTATCAATAGGTGCTTCGGATTGGTGGCTCTGAGTGACAAATCAGACGGAGGAGGAAAAGGCAAGGAGAACGAGGTCTGGATTCTGGCAGAGTATGAGCCAGACCAACCAGTGTCCGCGATCGTCAACTTCACCTATAAGACGATAGTCTCCGCACTTCCGCCTCCTCCTCAATAACTGTATCAAAAACCACGCAACCCACAGTGTAACATAGAAATATTCAATCTAACTCTGTTTAAGCCTCAACTCAAACCAACGTCACTCCAAGACATGATCTGGTCGAGACATGATCTATTTTGATCTAAAAGATCGGATACTATTCGTTTTATACAGCAATTGTGCAATACAATGACGATAAATCAATTGAAATTTTAAGTAGAGGCTTTCATATTGATACAAACAGCCGCTTGCTATGATAAGCGGTAGATAATGTTACAACCGCGCTCAGACAATTCGCCCAAAGACAATTCAGCCGATTTGAAATTCAGACAATTCAGCCAAAATTATGCAGACAATTCCGCCAATAATAGTGACCACCGCAGTCGCACCAATGTGTTGCGAGCTTGCTAACAGAGGGTAGGACTCCAGTTATCGGAGTCGGACTCCAGTTATTAGAGCCGGTTATCACCGCAAACCACCGGCGACCTTAAACCGAGAAATATCTCCAATTCCGAAATTTTTCTTTCGAATCTAGCGTTTTGTAAAACTGGCTGAATTCAAAAACGTTATTGAGAAATCTCAGTCGTATTTAGCCAGTCAGATTGGCAAAAAAAGCCTTAATAGCTAGTCAGGTAGTCTCACAAGTGCAAAAACATTGAAGTATTTCCCCAGTACGGAACATTTTTTTTAACCCAACTTCAATTTGCCGTGAAGATTACTTCAATTTTTTGACTACGTCTTCAATTTGTCGTGAACACTACTTCAATGTTTTTAACCCAACTTCAATTTGTCGTGAAGAGTACTTCAATTTTTGAAATTGACTTCAATTTGATTTCTCGTTCCAACGAATAGGGCAGGCAGTTCTCTGCAGTACGTAACAACGCGCGATGGTGCAACTAAACAAAGCCAAACCCAACTCTTTGTTTTTAAAAGTTCCAACTCGCGCAACCATTTCGCTCAAATTTGGTTAAAGACCACGAACAGCTGACAACCGGGGTTGAAACAGGATATAATAAAAAAGAAGCGGAGCTTCGTATCAGTTGCGTCATAAGTTTCGTACAAGAAACAATAGTAGCCGGTCGGTGTAGGTGAATAGTACCGAATATTTCGACCACAGTTATCATTGCAAATTTTTGAAGCAAATAAAGCATGCAGCAGATAAACTGGCAGATTAAAATACGCAGATTTACAAAACATTAAATAACAAAACATTAAATTTACAAAACATTTTAATAGCTTATTTTCTTACTCCTTTCTCAATTATGTCTAATCTTCGCTGAAACCTATATGAAACAATCCGAAAAAACTGCCCAGCAAATACTTTACGCAACGTTGTAAATGATGAAGACCGGAGTGAAATATCAAAACAAAGAAGAAACTCGAAAAGTTTAACGACTGGTGCACATTTTAAAACAAAAATACCACTGCATATAATTTTAAGAAAAAAGCTCAATTGTATCTTTAACTATGGAATAAATTGGGATGAGTTTATCCTGAAAATATCTAGAACAGCCACAAACAGAAACAAGACTGCTCGTATCAGGGCGAAGCCCTGAATGTTCCGACTGCCTTTTAAGGTTTATGGAGCAGTTATAACATAAACAACATAAAAGAATTGAATGAAAAATTTTTTTTTCTGAAATTTGAATTTTTTTATGAAATCATCACCCCACACGCCACATAAAGAACAAAAAAATAGATTTTGCTCTTTGTAACAAATCAATTATGGCAAACAAGCTCCTTCAAAATATTTGGAACGATTTCTAAAACGGATTAAATCTCCGTTCACGCGTTAATAGCGCGAAATATATCGCGCGTTAATTGTCTCAAATTGGCCAAAATGGCAATTTTTAAACCCCCATAAGTTTACGAAAAATTATCACAGGTGAAATATCTTTTCAAATTTAAGCTCAGGACAACAATACCTTTTGAATGATATACAAAAATTCCGTCAAAAATGGCTAGTTAGAAAGTCGAAATTTGTCTGAAGAAAAAAAACCCACCCCGAGCACAAATATTCCGTTACTTTCGTATCGAAAGTCGGAATAAAAACCACTTTTTTTAGATAAATTCATTTTGAACGAAGAAGATCTATTGAACATTATATACAGCTACGAAAATTAAAATAACATCTCAACAGGTTGTTTTTAAAATATCCTCTTCTTTCTTTTTTCAGAAAGCTCGTACTTGTTTGAGTTTTTAGGTTCTGGTCGATACCGATGAAAATCGGAGGTTTTATGAAAAAAATTTCATTTTTCCGCTCAGAGAAGTCTGAAAACGGATTAGAAAGTCTCTCATTTTTATGTTTAAGGGTCGTAAAGGCAGTTTTAGAACAAAAATTACTGGTATACTAGCCTGAAAAAAATTTATTCTTTTTATTAGCTGGTTAATTTTCTTGTCTAGATCTTTTGTTGTTTAATTGTCCTGTCTATTATCTTGTTGTTTTATGTACCACTATAATCACCAACTTTTTTTAAGCATGTTCCTTTAAAATCGAAAAGTGGATTTTTTGCAATTGTTTTGACAAGTTGGTTTGGACATTGTTTTTTGTTCCAACTTTCGATACGAAAGTAGCGAAATATTTGTGCTCGGGGTGGGTTTTTTTTTCAGACAAATTTCGACTATTTAACTAGCCACTTTAGACGGATTTTTTTTATATCATTAAAAAAGTATTGTTGTCCTGAGCTTAAATTTAAAAAGATAATCTACCTGTGATCGTGTTTCGTAAAGTTATGGTGGTTAAAAGATTGGCATTTTGGCCAATTTGGGACAATTAACGCGCGATATATTCCGCGCTTCTAACGCGTAAGCGGATATTTAATCCGTTCTAGAAGTCGTTCCAAATTGGTTGAAATAAGCTTATTTGCCGTAATTGATTGTTACTAGCAGCGAAACTAGCAGTCACTATACTTTTGTACTTTATATGAAGTGTGGGGGGATGATTTTCAGAAAAAAATTTCAAATTTCAGAAAAAAAACTTTTGATTTTGTTTTATTACATTCAAATTTTTATTGTTTTTACTGCTCCATAAAATTTAAAAGGCAGTCGAAACATTCAGGGCTTCGCCCTGATACGAGCAGTCTCGTTTCATTTTCAATTTCATACAAAGTTGTTTGATTTTCTGTCAATTTATGTCAGCAACCTGCAATCTAAGATTCGTTCGCAGCCCTCTCAAAATTACTGAAAAGTTTTGCATATTTATATTTGCTTTATGGGATGGTACGCCAATGAGCCGAGGGGTCAATGAACCAAAAAAAGTATACCATACCAATAAGCCAGTAATTAATCATCCTTTTTGCAGCACATGAACACAATTTCACAACTTCGATTTTGCAATTGTTGCGTAGTTTGATGAAAATTTGGTTTCCAGATATAGCGGCTAGTTTATACGGCGGTTTGTGTAAGACATGGTACTTTATGACTTGATGTGATAACGAGAATCTAATTCGTGTTTTCTTCTTTAAAGAAGTTCAGGTTTTTTTGCGCCATTTGCATTTTCGTAACTTGAGAAGAAAATTTATTTTACTTTTAGAAAATAATTTTTTCCCTACAAACTAAACAACCCAAATAAAATCTTCGCTTGGAACTTTTTTGTCTATTTGCATGGTTATATTTGTTTTATTAAAATATCAAAAAGAGTTTTGTTTCTTCTTCAATCCTTCTAACTTTTTACTTCAATTTACTGTTTTTCAAACTCTGATGTTCTCTCTTTTTTGTGTTTTCTGGTCATTGTAGAGCCCAGAAAAAATAAAAGAAAAGAAATACAGTTAGTTTTATATGTCCAAAACCTGTTTTACAACATAACATTTAAGTAGTTGCATAATGCTGATGAGGCTAACTCATTAACAATATTTTACCTGAAAACTATAAACGAAAGGTATAGTTGATCTCCATGCTCTAGTGCTCACTTTTTGGTTTTGTTTTTATGAAGTCACCTAGTCAAAATGTCGGCAAACCGCATAGTTTTCTATCAATATAAAAACTCTTAAATCTAGTTCTCGAACGTAAAAGTCTATGAAGTTGAAAGTGAAATAAAAGTCAAGGTGACTTAAGTGATGGCTATGACATAGTCCTGCCCCATTTGCGAGTGTAGCAAATGAAAAAAATAACGAAATGACCCATGTGTTCGAAGTATTGAACATAAGGTGGTGGTAAGCATGGTTGGAAAAGCTGTTGATCGATAAAACTTTGATACAGCAACCAAGGAAGTGAAATGATCAGTAAAGTTTTTGCAAAAATTGGTAGACGAATATAAGGACTTGTTGTGGGTACAAAAAGGTAAATGAAGCCAATGAAAATCATTCCTTGGGAAAACCCTATACAGTTTAATTACTGGCCGTTATTTTTTTTATCATGAGGAGTCTGGAGGCTGGCTGGGTGAACCTCGAGAAATTTAGCGAGAGGTCAAAGACCCCGTGGTGTATAATCTTCTAAAACCCATACAAGATGATCTAGTGCCAAGTTGTTGAAAGACGTGTTCCACTTAGTCCGAGTAAGCTTTTATGGAAAATACTCGCGGAGAAAAAATACTCGCTGCGCGTTTTTCCACGATTTGGAAAGAGTGACAGATTTGTCCAGAATTATGCCAGGTGGTGCAAAAATTGATGGCCTACAAAAAAGGTTGTGATTCGGTGTGAACGGCAATGGGTCATTTATGCCCGCAGGAACATTAGTTAAAGGACGTGAGATGATGCTTGTTTCAATTTCGCAAACGAAGATGTTCAGCGTGTATTTATGCAGTGCTTGTGAACCAATAACTTTATAGAGACAACTTGAAAATTTGTACTTGTCGCTCCCAGCTGCCACCAAAAGCAGGTGCGGCTGGCGGGTTGAAAAACCATTCTATATCTGTGTCCATGAGCGATAGTTTGTCTTAGAACTTAGAACTTTGAGCTAATTCAATTACTGAGCTCTTCAGGACTTTATTCGCACTGATAAAAGAAGAACCGTTGTCCGATATGAACTTTGTCTACTTTCCCCGCCAATAAACAAAATGTCTGATGCAATTAAATGTGCTGTCAATAGACAAATCTGGTGATACTTCTAAGTGTACCGCGCGTACAACCAAACAGGTGAAGAGAATTATATATCTCGAATACTGATTGTTGTTTTTGTAAATCGGGAAAGGTCCTATGAAGTCCGTTCCAGTAATATATAACGGATAAAGATTTTCCGTCGGTAATTGATCTTTTGGCAAGTCTGCCATGAGGATTGCTGAAACTTG